CTTCAGAGAGAAAACAGCAACAGTTGTGTGAGACATCTTAACACCTTTTAAAAAATCAAGTGGACAAAAAATACGGAAGCTCTGAATACAATTAACAATCTTAATGAGATGTATACTCAACAGAGAATGTATTTGAATGCAGTGTTTCTGCCAAATGAAACATTTACCCCCCAAAAATATATTAGATGATTAAGGATCAATATGAACAGACTATGTTCCATAATGCAATGACAATGAAATAATGATAATCACAAATGGATAACTGAAAAAATCACATACATTTGGAAAATAAGTATATAATACTAAGTAACCCTGAAGTTAAAACAAAATATGCTTCAGAAAGTTTTGATGTCTTTCAGAGAAACTTGAGTATTTGGTTTTCTTCATATACTGCTAGTGTTTTTCAAATTTATCCTTAAATACTTTATGACTTTTGTCACTACTATGTATAGATCATTTTTTCCACTATGTTTTCTGGTTAGATATTATTGGTGTACAGAAAGCTCTTCATTTTCACATATTATTTTGAATCTTGTATTTTACTGAACATTTTTCTAATTTTAATAGCAAATTATCTTGGCTTTTTTAGAATTTTAAATGTTGGCTCATCCTTGTCTTATTCATGATTTAAATTGGAAGACTTCTAATGTCATTTCCTCCATTTAATGTGCTGCTATGTCACATTAAGGAAATGAGGAATGAGTGCCATCCTCAACATATGGCTTCCTTCACTAAGAAGCTGGCTGCTACATATTGCTCTGCCTGAATTCAGAGAAAAAGGAGAGCAGGATTTGGGAAGCACATACTCACTTCTTTTTACAGATGAGAGCCTGGAGTGGCAAACATCATCTCTACTCACATTACAATGGCCCAATATGAATCACTTAGCCACATGTAGCTGCAAGAGAAGCTGGGGATTAACCCTTTTCCTTGAAGAGCCTGTGCCCAGCAGAAGTGTTGATAGGAGAGAGAGAAAACAGTTATTGGAGGGCAGCTAGCTACACATCATGTTCATAGGCTTTGTTCCTTTAATTTGTTAATGTACTAAAAAGCATTAATATATTTTCTGGTGTTAAATCAATCTCACAGTCCTTGGATAAATCCCAGTTCATCATGAAGACTTTTTTATTGTATTGTTGGATTCTATTTTTGACTACTTTATTATTTTTACATCTGTGTTCATTAAAAATATTTTGCTAATGCAGAAAGTAGTAAAAATTTACATTCATATGGTACTTTGAAGTTTTTAAAATCATTTCATGTATATTATCTCACTTGAGAATACATGATAATCAGAACTGACTGTAAAAAAAGTAGATAGTAAGTGTGTAAATAGAAAATATCTACAAATGAAGCACTGCAGTCTTATTATTGCCTAAATTCTAAAGGTCCACCAGTGAGACTGAAGTAACCTGAAGGGACATTATCCCCCTCCAAGCTACACAGGGAGGAATAGGGCAGCCAGCTCTGTAAAATGTCTATCCCGCAGCTGGTGTCTTAGACATTCTATTAATGCAATGTTTAAATAGCCTGGTTTTGAATTTACAAGTCAGGAATTTCCTAGTCATTAAACATTCTCTGGGTTTCTAAACTTCTGTTTTGATTCCTTTCTTATCTGCATATACCAAATATGATAGTGGCAATTGAGCCCTGTCCTGGGAAAAGGAGGCTTTAAAAATACAGAGGACTCCTGCTCTTTGTCAGGCAGCCAGGTTTTATGTGTTCTGCTCACACATTGTTTCACAGGGCTGTGTACCAGAATACACAGTAATTACATAAAAGCAGTCACTCAGAAGTATAAAGTGGCTTTGGGAGGAAAATAAATGGTAGGCTGACATAATTTTGCAAAAAGAGGCACTCAATATTGTAGTGACTGGGTGGCACAGTAAACACAGAATTGCCCAAATAGCAGGGCCTTTCTGTGGATTTTACCCAAATAAAATAAGCTGTCTGTTAAGTTCTCTTTCTTGAGTCTCAGAGCCTCCGATGTGTCATAGGTCAGATACTTAGGGCAGCATTTAACTCTGAGGAGATCACTCAGTTGGGCTTTCAGAGCCCTCTCCCCCTCCTTAACCCTGCTTCTCTCTCTGCTTAACATATACCCCCAAAAGCAAAAACACTACAGTATGCCTGGGGAAAATCTGATGGCTTCTCCCTGACACTGTAGCTGCACATTCCAAAGTGAAGCAAAGATGAGGGAATTATCTGCTTACTCACATTGGTGCATGTGTCCCATTTGAACATACTAGATCTGGTAGTACCTTTCTGCTCTGGATTTTGTGCTTGATCAGACCGATAAGATAATTCACCTAAATCCACTTCACTCTTTGCCATTTTTGGAAACCCTGAGTACCTAAATTCTTAATGACTATTTCTGTTGGAATAAATACATACCCTTTTTACCATGTACAAAAAATAGCCTAAATCCCAGAATCCCATTTATTTCTTGCCATCATCAGCCCTAGAAATCCACTATGAATATTAAATATGAATAAAGATGGGGTTCAGAGTAATAGAATTGCCCTGCTGCCATTTTACCATTTGTCTTTCCAAACAGATGTCATATATCATGTACCAGTGGTACAGACAGGACAAGTGGTGCAACTAAGCACTTAAGTTTAAAATAAATGATTTAAAATAGTTCATTATACTTTGCCCCACAGGAAGAAAAAATGTTTTCTCAGGTCCCTGAAAATGGATGATGAGTAATTTTAAAACTCTATGGATATCCAAAATTTGGTTGCCTATTTTTAAAATGCTGTGCTGGGGTTTGAAACAAGCTGTCCAGTTCCAGAGCCCAGCTCTTCACTGTTAAGCTCTATGGCCTTTTAAGTATAAGTAGACAGTCGGAAAATTGTGGACATGAAAATCAGTGAAGGAAACTTTAGGCTTCTAGATAGTGAATATGTTCAAATCTGTGCAACTAATACCGCTTGCTACAGGGTCAGCAAAATGTAGGCCAACTTTGCAATAAAACAAAGTCCAAGAGTAGACCCAAATATATCTGAGAATTTAGGGCAAAATAAACTGCATCCTGTATGTCTCTTCTTTGCCTAACACATTATAAGAGCTCAATAAGTATTGTGTCATTAAATCATGCTCAGCTTGTTCAAGACTGAAATATAAAAAGTAATACTATAAGGCTCAAGAAGCAAATTTTGATGAGTATTGGAGAAGAGCTTTGTAAGCACAAAATCAAAACTGGAAGCCATAAAGGAATAAATCAGTAAGATCTGATTACTAAAAACTTGTAAAATTTGTGTACATCTAAGCATCAAAGTCTCAAAAATAACCCCAAGATCCCATTTTCAAAAAAATTCTAAATCTAGAGTCTTGAATAGATATGCTTTAAACATATGAATAAGAACAATAAATGAAAAAGTATGATTCTACCACTCCTTACATACCTATAAAATAGCCACAACACAGGGATGAGCCTCACTAGGCCAGATTAGTACAGTACACAAAGAAGATTATATTTTGATGGAGACAAAACCTGTTAGCAGCCTTAATCCCTCACAAAACCTCAGACCACATACAGCCATTAGCCAAAGTAAACATGAAAATAAAAGGAACTTTGGAATTGTCAGTAAATTCTGCCAAGTTGAAATTCAAGCCTTCAGTTTCAGTAATTCATAGAAAAATCAATCAAGTCTAAACACCATGTAGCTCTATAATTTTATAGTTGGGCCAATGGAAAGGTTTTAGGAATTTTAAAAAACGTATCAGTGATGTAGCACACACAAACACCTTTGTATTCAGTTAGCTTTTTGAAATACCATCAAGGAATTTAAGTTTGAAAACCTACATAGAGGTCAAGGTCAAGTAAAAGCCCTAAGTAGCTTCTGAGAGACTTGCAATGCTCTGGGCAAATATAATCCAGTAGTTCGTCTAGCAGACTGACCTCAGCATGTAAAGAAGGCCAGCTTTGGCTGCTACAGTGGTGCTTAATTTTGTCCTGAATCTATAATATCCTAATTGCAAATTTGCTGCCTTTAATTCCTAGTGACTTCAGGTAATGGGCTAGTCCGTGTGAAAGTGGGGCCCATGAAGAGTTTTGAGGGCATGAGTTGGGTGACACCTGAGAACCTATCCTAGAGAAATTTATATTCTTGTTAAGTGTCAGTCACAATGACATGTTGAGTCTGTTCATTTCGAGCAGCTCTGATAACTACTGAAGCCCCAGAGCTCATCACAGAGAAGCTGTGCCTCACATAGTCTCATGAAGAATAGAGTCAGTGACCCAGATAACCCAGACCCAAGAAAGTTGCCACTTCCGCATCCAGTAACAGAGGCATTGTGGTGGGAATATTTGAGAGCTGAGGTGAAACGGATCTGGAACTCTCTGTACAGCCTCCATCTTCCTTTGGTGTGAAGACACACAAGCTGTTAATGGTGAATTAGGTAAAATAAGGAGAATATAGTTCTGGGACCAGGACTTTATGTTTGCAAATCATATTAGAGCTCATGAAGACACTCTACTTTGGGTTGCTTTGGGTACTCACTGTGGGAGGAATCATGGAGATCTGTAACTGAGGATTCCTAGTGTGTGTGTGGCTGGGGAGAGGGGCACAGGCAAGTGGCATATAATTGGGCAGTTCTAACCCTTTTGCCATGGGATACAAAGTGCCTTTTCCCCTCAGTGGGTTTTGTGAAATGCAACATAGAACTGTGCACCAGGCTAGTGGGGGAGGGTCCACCTTTACCACACCTTAGAGAGCTGGAGACTACACGGTCATGACCTCACTGGCACCAAAATAATGAATTCAATTTAAGTTCTTTTCTCATACGCAAGACAGCAGCATCTCAAGGTAACTGAAGAAAGAGAAAATTCGATTCAGTTTCTGGCTATCAGATCTTAGTATTAGATCCAGTTATTAGATCTGACATAGAATTGTCAAAAGCAGCGTCATTATTTGGTTGTATGTTACTTTGTCCAGACATTTCACTCTGACTTCCTCCGTCTCTCTCTCCCTCTCTCCTTGCCCCTTGCCCAACAGGTGTAGAAGACATCGTGGCAATAATGATTCCTGAGCCAAAAGGGAAGGAGATAGTAAGCCTGCTGGAAAGAAACATCACCGTGACAATGTACATCACTATAGGAACCCGGAACTTGCAGAAATACGTGAGCCGCACTTCGGTTGTGTTTGTCTCCATCTCCTTCATTGTCCTGATGATCATTTCCCTCGCATGGCTGGTCTTTTATTATATCCAGAGGTTTCGATATGCAAATGCCAGGGACAGGAATCAGGTGAGTAGCAAAAGTCTTTCAAAAAAACCTTATAGTTATTACAGAATACATATTATTGTATAAGCTTTAGAAATCACAGAAAATACCAAGACAAAAACAAAATTACCTGTTATACTCCCACTCAAGATAAACACTGTTAAAGTTTGCTGTATAGTTTTTCAGATCTTTTCCAAATGCACATAATTTGATGTTTTACTAGTTTCTTTCTGTACAGTGGAGGTGCTTTGTCCCCTATTCCTATTGCTCATTTTTTGGACAATTTTCTATATAGGCACATAATAAAGGGAAAAGGGGAAGTGAGTGTAGATTATGCAAATAGTGGCAATGTAATTTGGGAAAAGCCAAGATTTCCTCCTTGTGAATGGAAGAGGAAAAGGTAATTTAAAAATAAAGGCTATTTTAAAAAGCAGTTAATTTTTACATATAATTTACATGCATAGTATAAAATATGAAATGTATAAAATAGTATACAGTGAAAAGTAATTCCTTTCCCATGTCTGCCCCTCAGTTGTCCAGTTCATCTCCCTGGAAATATCTTCTCTTCCAGGGCTTATTTTATGAGCTTGCATACACACACATTTTTAAATAAATGATAGCAAACTTAACTGTGTACCCTTATTTCTCACTTCATCTTGAAGATTAATTCATAACACCCTGTCCAAGCTTTCTATTTCTAATGACTGTATAACATTTAATTTTCTGCATATGTCACATTTATTAAACCAGCTTGGATTAAGCAACATGTTTTCTCTTTAAAAAAGAAACATTTGCATATGACACTAAGCACGTTTGTGGATATGTCACTAAGGTAAATTCTGAAAAGTTTACTGGAACAATGGTATCAATATTTTAAACTACGCTAGATACTGCCAAATTGCCTGCCAAAAAGGTTGAACCAATTTATGCATTAACCAACAGTACACTGATACTGTTTAAACATTAGTATATTAGTATAATATTGCTTATACTGACATATATAGCAATATACTAATAAACATAATAGTGCTTCCCCATATCCTCAGAAAAAGATGTTACAGCTTTTTGTTCTGTGCAGTTTGGTAAGTTAAAAATGGTATCATGTTTTTCTTACCACAAGTAATGTTGAACTTTTTAAGTAAAATAGAAACAGTGAACTTTTTTCTATGAAGCATTTGATTACATTATTTAACCACTTTTTTTATTATTAAAGTATCATAGATATACAATCTCATGAAGGTTTCATGTGAACAACGTTGTGGTTTTAACATTCACCTGTATTATCAGGTCCTAATCCCACCCAGGGTAGTAAGATGCTGTGAAGTCACTAGTCTTCTCTGTGCTGTACTGTCTTCCCCATGACCTACCTATATTGTGATTGTGAATTATAGTGTCCCTTAATCCCCTTCTCTCTCCCTCCCTACCTGCTCTGCCCCACCCCTCCCCTCTGGTAACCACTAGTCCCATCTTGGACTCTGTCAGTCTGCTGCCGTTTTGTTCCTTCAGTTTAGCTTTGTTGTTATACTCCACAAATGAGTGAAATCATTTGGTACTTGTCTTTCTACACCTGGCTTATTTCACTGAGCATAATACCCTCTAGATCTATACATGTTGTTGCAAATGGTAGGAATTCTTTTATTTTTATGGCTGAATAATATTTCATTGTGTTATGTACCACATCCTCTTTATCTATTCATCTACTGATAGATACAAAATTAATACACAGAAATCTGTTGCATTCATATATACTAATGATGAACTAGCCGAAAGAGAAATCAGGAAAACAACTCCATTCACAATTGCGTCAAAAAGAATAAAATACCTAGGAATTAACCTAACCAAGGAGGTGAAAGACCTATGCTCTGAAAACTACAAGACATTCATGAGAGAAATTAAAGAAGACACCAATAAATGGAAATACATCCCGTGCTCATGAATAGGAAGAATTAATATTTAACTACTTTTTAATTGAGTTGTTGGTAATTTTCTTATTGATGTGTCTAAGTCAATAAATTAAAGACTCTTTATTAGTCAAAGAAGTGAACCCTTTTTGTGATGTGGGATTCAATTTTTTCCTTCCAGCTTGTCATTGTCTTTGATTTATCGATAGTGTTTCTTGCCATGCAGAAATATCTTAGTTTTACATAAATGAATTTATCTATTTTTTTGTATAACTCCTGAGTTTTGTGCAGTAAGCTCTTCTATAGCCCAGGACTATAGAATACATTCCCTCATGTTTATATCCACTACTTTTTTATTTCATTTGTGTAATTAAATATTTAATCAACAGAGAACATATTTCAGTATAAAGAATCAAGTAGAGAGCAAATATTGTTTTCAGATGGCCTACCAGCTTTTGTAACTCATATTTATTGAATAGTTCATCTTCTCCCCATCATATTCAGTATTCCCATTTAGCATGTATTAAATACACATGTGTATTTGGTTCAGTTTCTATACTTTCTTAACTCTACCATAATCTACCCCATTCATGCTCCAGTACCATGACTATTTCGAGCACATCAGCACTATGTACTTGACCTCATATCTGTTCATGCTAATCTTCCTTGATTGCCCTATCTTCACTTTTATTCACGTCTATCTTTATATAAGTTTAGAATCACTTTTACCTAGTTTTTTAAATTTATAGAGTAACTTAGAAGGAATTTACAAACTTCTAATGTTGAATCTTCTTATCCAAGAATAATATCTACTATCCCTTAATTCAGCCATTCCTTTCATCCCCTAGTAGCATGTTTAAGTATTCTTATGTAATCTTGCACATTCTTTTTACACTTATTCCTAATTATTTATTCATTGTGTTGCTATTATAAATGTGAAATTTCCTTTTTCATAAAGGAAGGCTTTTGATTTTTGTATGTTTATTTTGTACATTTTTATAATTTATATATTTTATAGTATATATCATTTTGTAATATATATATTTTGATGGATAATTATAATTTTGTAACAATTATAACATGCCTTATTCCCTTAATAATAACAATAATATTATACAATATTTACTATATATAGACATGTCCTAAGAGCTGCATGTATATTTATATACTTAATCATCTCAGCAACCCTAATAGTAGGGTTCTACTGTCCCCATTTTACAGAGAAGGAAACAGAGCAGCTACATAATTTGGCCAAGGTCACACAGCTAATTACTAATAGAGCCAGTAATTGAATCAGGAGCGGGGCTTCAGAGTTCATGCTCTTTGCCACCAGCTTATAGTATTTATTATTGTTTCTATTAGTTTATCATGATTAGTTAATAATATGCACAGTTAGTGATAATTTAGTTCTTTCAAATTTTAAACCTCCTACTTTTTTCTGATATTAAATTGGCTTGCTTCTCCAGAATCAACCAAAGTAATAGTGATAATAGTGAATATATTACTCTTCATTTGGTATTCAATGAGAACATCCTGAATTTAATGGAATTATTTTATCATTTCTCCATTTTATTATTTACCCATGCAATCTTCTTGGTTGAGATATATATTTTATCATGTTATGTAAATGTCAGGATAGTCTTATTATATTCAGAGTTTTTGAGTAAGGGATGAGTATTTAATTTTTACAAACACCTTTTCAATAGATAGGGTCTGAGTTTTCTCTTTTGATCTATTAATAGAAGTGGATTATATTAATGGATTTTGCAGTATCAAACCATCCTGAATTTCCAGTACATACTATTCCTCTAACATGCCCTAGATTTTACTTGTTCATATTTTGTTTAGTATATTATTTATTTTTTACCTTAATATTCATATGTGAGATTTGTCCATAGTTCACATTTTTGTCATGTGCAGGTGACAGTGATACTGGCTTTATAATAAATTTGCAAGTTTTCCTCTATTTTCTGTAGTCCAGAGCTGCAGTTTCCAAGATGATAGTTGCTAGCCATGTGTGACTATTTAAATTTGAATTAATAAAATAAAACTTAAAATTCTGTTCCTCAGTCACACCAGCCACATTTCAAATGTCCTGTATATGCACTGCCATATGGTAGCCATTTCCATCATGATGGAAAATCCTTTCGGACAACCCAGCTGGAGAGCAGTTTAAATAGCACTGGAATTAGCTGATTCTTAAATTTTTAATAGGAATTTTCTGTAAACAGGTAAGGTCTGAGTTGTTTGTTTTAGAAGGATGGCTCTATTTAATTTATAGCAATTGGTCTGTTTAAATTTTCAATAACTTCTGTAATAATTTTAAAAATATTACTGCTTTTTTCTAATTCTTAAAATGATACATGCTCATTGTATCATTATGATTAAATTTGGCAATCATAAAAAAATACTAAAGAGAAGACAAAGCACACACATATAAGTTTTGTGTCCTATATTTTATTAATTGGTGACCATTTCCCCTGTCATTAAATAATCTTTGAAGCATGATTTTTAGTGGCTATATAGTAATCAAGTCCCAACTCTTACCAAATGTGGGCACATTATATAATCTGTGCTCTAGTACTCAAAATTGAAAGAGAATATACCTCCTTCTTATGGTTATAGTAAAGATTAAATGGGTTAATGTGTATCATTTTTTAAGCCTCTAAACATTATGCTTATCCCTTTTTAAGCTCTTAGTGAATAATATCCATTATTACTATCATATAGATTCCTTGATGACTACTTAAAAATCCAACTTTGCCACTTTATTAAATATTCTGGAATTTAAGTGGACATTTACTACCAGCTTCACACAAGGCAGTGAAAATAGATACAGAGCTAATCTGTTCAGTTCTGCTGGTTCCTAAGGGTTACATATGAAGAAACTATGCATCTATAAATCAGTTTTATTTTCTATACCTTGTTCATCCAGTGATAAATAGAAGTGGTATCCTTATATTTTTGAGTCTTTAGATAATCTAAACAATCTTCAGTCAATTGAGGCAAGGATGACATTTTAAGCTTGAATTAGTTGAGCAATTATTTCAATTGCCAATTTGTTTTGTACAGGTAGATATAGCATCCATGTCTCTCTGGGCATATGCATACTCTCTGATGTAT